GGGACATGCGACTTCTCACGACTTGGTTTTATGCGCTTTTCACACAATTTCCTGCATTTTATGATTTTTCGAAGATTTTGAAAATTTTCAACTTTTTTCAAACCTCTCCTTTTGAGATGCATGCCAGCCTCGGTGAATGCGTCACACATTCTCTGCCGTACTCCGCCTCTGTCTCACCGGGTTGCTTTCTGCTTCGGAGTCTACAGCCACCGGCCTCTGCAGAACTCGGTGTGTGAAGGACCGTGCCTCTGCCCGCATCGGTATCTGGCATACGTGGTGTCTGTTGCAACTAAGCTTTTCAGAGACAGCACTTCAAGAGACCGTGTGAGGCAAAGACCACGTCGTCAGAGACACAGTACATCTGATACAGTCCGACAGCGACCGGTTGTGCAAGGCATGAGGTGGGGAGAATTTTGTCCCAAGTCGCGAAAAGTCGCAAGTCACGTGTCTGCCCGTCTCGGTCTCTGCCTTACGTGGTGTCTGCCGCAACTGGGATTTCAGAGACGGCACGTCAAGGACAGTGTGAGGCACAGACCGCGTTCGTCAGAGACAGTACATCAGAAACAGTCCGACTGAGACCAGGTCTGCAAGGTATCAGGTGGGGGGAATTTTGAAAAATTTCAAAAAGTTTCCTACCTGATTCGTGAGAAAACCAGTCACTGGCACACTCTCGGTCGCTGACAGAAACGGTCTTTGTCGGACTCCATCGCTTTAACACCCAGTCGCCCCTAGACACTCTCTGCTTTGACCGGTCTCTAGGACTCGGTGTCTGCAACACAATCTCAGGTAGACTCGTTCTCTGCTTCCCAAGGCCTCTGCCTCTCTCCTTCTCTGCTGGACCGCTTCTGCAACACCGAGTCTAGCATAGAAACTGTCTCTACTGCAACAGGTCTCTGAGTCTCCCCTAGACACTCTCTGCTTCGACCAGTCTCTGTAGGACTTGGTCTCTGCAAGATGGAGTCTCTGGTAGACTCGTTCTCTGCTTCCCAAGGCTTCTGCCTCTCTCCTTCTCTGCTGGACTGTCTCTGCAGCACCGAGTTTAGCATAGACACTGCCTCTGCTTCGAGAGGTCTCTGTAGGACTCAGTCTCTCCAGCACAGAGCCTATGGTAGAGTCGGTCTCGTTCCCTCTTTCTCTGCCGGACTGGTTCTAAGCTTCACCCTGTGTCTAATGAAACAGGTCCTTTTGGAGAAGCGTCTTCGCTGACCGAGAAATACAGAGACGGTATCCTGCAGAGACCGTGTCAGGAAAATTTCAATTTTTTTTAGTTACTTTCGCTTTTCATGCCATTTGCAACCATTTATAGTTTTTTTAAAAATTCAAAATTTTCTAAAAATTCAAATCTAAAAGTTCTTGACGATTTTGATGATTCATTTGTATAAAAAATTTCTTGGATACTATCCATCGTCTAGTAAATAAAATATAAAACGTAAAACGACGTTTCGGAGATGGGGCTCTATTGGGCCCAATAGACATGGAACCTTTTGTTAAAAATTCGGAACATTTCATACAGCTATTGAAGGATGTCCATCTTCAAAGTGGAGATATACTGGTTAGTTTCGATGTAGTCAGCCTATTTACCAACGTACCAGTGGAAGAGGCCCTGTGTGTCATCAAAGAAAAACTTGGTAAGGAATCTACCTTATCGCACCGGACATCTTTACAGGTCGATGACTTGGTAGAAATGTTGGAGATTTGTTTGACCACTACCTACTTTCAATTTGAAGGAAAATTCTATCAGGAAAAGGAGGGAATGGCGATGGGGAATTCGTTGTCTCCAGTCGTTAGTAATATTTATATGGAGTATTTTGAAACTTTGGCTTTAGACACATCTGACCACAAACCAGCCACTTGGTTGAGATATGTGGATGATACATTTGTGGTCTGGTCGCATGGTCCGGCGAGATTACAGGAATTCTTTCACCATCTCAACAGTCTCAGTCCATCTATACAATTTACCATGGAGGTGGAAAACAATGGTACTCTTCCATTCCTGGATGTTTTAGTCGTGAAGAATGGTTTTAGTTTACTTATGGATGTTTATAGGAAACCCACACATACTGGTCGATATTTAAATTTCAAATCTAATCACCCACTCCACGTAAAAAGGGGTGTGGTTCTCAGTCTGGTTAATAGAGCAAAGATCATATGTCAAGAGAAGAACAATTTTAACAGAGAAATTAAGATCATCAAACAGGATTTGTCTCTGAACGGGTATCCTCGCCAGTTAATCGATTCGATTATTAAGTCTGGGGAAAAAACATCCGGCCTTCTCCTGACAGAACACCTCTGGGTTCGGCGGTTATCCCATATGTCAGAGGCGTTTCAGAAACATTTAGAAGAATTGGGAACCGTTACAATATCAGGACGATTTTTAAAACCAGTCACCTTTTTCGTGGTTTATTGATGTCCATGAGACTCAGAACAGTCGAGAGACAGACTAGGCAGTGTGTGTACGGGATCCCTTGTGATTGCGGTAGATGGTATATCGGCGAAACTAGCAGACCTCTGGTGGTACGCATAAAGGAACATAAATATAACTTCAGACGGGGCCTGCTGGAGAAATCTAGATTGGCCCAACATGCGTATGAAGAAGATCATCATGTCTGTTGGGATGGAGCCAGGGTGTTACTAACAGAACCTAATACTGTCTGGAGGAAATACAAGGAGGCGGCACACATGGCACTACTCGCCAATCCTATCAGCCAGCCTAGTTTGGATTTATCTCGCATGTGGATTCCGGTCATCTCTGAAGAAGTCCAAGTTGTGCACCGAGTTTCAAATTAATGGTCATATGTATTTATTCCCACTTTTTGTGTGTCTTTGTTTTTATTTGGCTTTTTCATGTTTAACGAATTATGTTTCTACTATTTCTATTTTATTTTCTTACGTCCCATGAATGGATGTTCTTGTATTCTGGGACTTTCACTTTTTTACTTTGTCTGGAGATAGGGATTAGCTCTATCTATTGGGCCCAACTGAGTAAAACCTGAAGACGGAGATAGAGCCCCATCTCCGAAACGTCGTTTTACGTTTTCTATTTTAATTACTAGATGATGCATAATATCCTAGAAAATTTTTATTCAATTGCTGGAAATTGTCTAAAAAGCGCACAAAACCAAAAATTTCAGAAATCATCCAAAAAAATTCAAGTTGAAATGTTCCAATTTTTTAGGTTTGTGTGCCTTTTAGACACTTTCCATCATTTTCTGATTCATCAAAAATTTTTAATAAATTTTGAAGTGCTTATAAGTGACGTGAAGAACGAAAACAACTGAAAAATTGAAATTTTCTAAAAAAAATTGAGATAGGAACTTTTGAAAAAAACCAAAATTTTTCGAAATATTTGAAAAAAAATTTAACTTGAAATTCTTTAGTTTTGTGCACCTTCTGGACAATTTACAGCATTTTTTGATTCAAACGTTTGAAAAAAATTTCAAATTTTTCCCCACCCGTTACATGTCTGATCCAGTCTCTGCCGTACTGTCTCTGACGGAACGTATTATACGAAATATTTTCGAATTTCAAAAATTTAAGCTGAAATTTTTCAAATATTTTGGTGTTGTGCCCGTTTTGAACAATTCCCAGAATTTTTGGATTTTTCGAAAATATTTAGAATTTTTTCAAAACTCCCATCCATTCATTTCCGTACAATGTCTTTGCTGGACCCGTTCTCTGAGGGAACCGGTCTCTCCCGGCACGAGTCTCTGCTGGACCCCATCTGTGCCGGTCCTGATGTCTGGAGGAATGACTTAAGTTTTGAAAATTTTTCAAAAATTTAAAAATAGGTCATAAATGTCATAAAAAGGTATTAATCGAACACTTTTTTAAAATTTGGAGAAAAAAAATTGAAGTTAAATTTTTTAAAAAAATCTTTGGTTTTGTGCGCTTTTTGAACAATTTGTAACATTTTATATATTTTTGTAAATTTTGAAATTTTCAATCTTTTAAATATCCTGTCTCTACCACATCCGCTATCTGAAGGACCCGGTGTCTGCCAGACCCAGTCCCTGCCAGACCGGATCTGCTGTAATGATCTTCAAATTTCAAAATTTTCTAGATGTTTCAAAAATCGTCACACGGGTCAGGATCTGAATCGCCTATGAAGACATACCTTTAATGTATGAATGAGTTTTGTCTACCCATTACACAAGTCATGTATGGACCAGTCCAGACAGCCGTTAGTACCAAATACAGTAGGCATGTGTGGAGGCACGTATATAACCTGCACAGCCCAGCCATCATACAAACGATGCATGGCATAGGAACAGACGCCTGTGACAACAAAAAGTTCTTTATTAATGAAACATCTCACAAAAACTGTTCAAAGCATCACTGTATGTGCTGTGAGGTGTGTTGTCATGTATCTGACAAATTAGGGTCTTTTCCCTCGATTTCTGTGGGTAATCTGCATGCATTTTCATGCTGTAAGTAACAAACACGAACATTACTCTGTTACGTAGTCCTGTAGTGCTAGTTTAATCTTTATGCCCCTATGTTTACATTGGAAGAAATGCAACAGCTTACATTACGGATATTTAAGGTGACGTCGAACCATTAAGATTTGACCCTAAGTGCAAGACATCATGAAGTTACCGTACCTTGCCATTTTAGACTGTGCCTTTTTTTGTCATGAATAAATAATTAATCCTTAAGGAGAGTGTTTATTTAGATTGTTGGGTGACAATGGCAATGATGGCCAAGACAGGAAACCTACAGTTTAGTAGGGTGGGTGCCTGGTACATCCTTCATTCGCTTTCAACATTTCTTGCAAAAGTGCTTATGTACAAGTCAATCTTTCAGATAAGATGCACATATCTGTGAGTCGCACAAACGTGATGGATGCTGCAGTGGTGGTAACGGCACAAAACAATCACTTGACACCTTCATTTAGAAGGAACACCAGTATCTAGCCTCCGTGCAGAGTGGAGATGAACACAATATTGTCATTTTCCTTTAGCTGACAGTTCAAGTGACCCTATAAAAGAAAACACAAAATAAATCCAGCTGTACCAACACAGTCTAAACATGCTACAAACTGTAAGAATAACACGTTCAATAAAGCTTCCTTCACTGAAAGGAAAATCATTTAAACATTATACAGATTACATTAGGAGCCACGGTGGTCTAGCGATTAGAACGCTGGCCTTGTAATCCTGGGGTCTCGGGTTCGATTCCCAGCGGTGCCCGAATTTATAACTTGAGTTGGGCAAGGCCGTGGTCTAGGCATCACGGAGTTTTCCTCCGGGGGCTTCCCCGGTTTCTCCGTGGCATCCCATTCACACACAGAAGAAGGCAATGGCAAACCACTTCTGGATCATCTGCCAAGAACGTATATGAACAGGTCCCAGTCTGAGAAAAGGAGGGAAGGATCCTGTTCATATGGACGTGTCGTCAGACAGAACACTAAATAAAAATACAGATTACATTAGTGGAATTGCCATTTTGCTAGAGGTTAGAAGAGTTAGTACTTACTAGAAGTTCCCAATCCACATTATTCACCAGCACCAAGATTCCTGGCCTCCTGCAAACAGAAAAATACTTCAACATAAAAGAATATCAACAAATACAGAAATCAAGGAGAAATTCCTTACCTTTACAGGTCACAATATTATAACAAAAGTAAATCAAAGTATTCCCCTGATACTGCCATTAAACCATCTTCAAGGTAGATATTAACAGAACTGTCATGCAGCTGAGCTGTTCAAAGGATGTATCTTCCTTCATTTCCAGGTAAAAAAAATAGGGGGCAAAGACATTGTACTGGAACCTGTATATGCCAAATCTGTGCTCCATCCTTTGAAACGGCGATTTTTAAGACTTTCAAGACGATGGATAAAGTAAAAAGAAAAGTAATAACATTTAAGTCAGCCAATTTCTACGTTCATGAGACATAAAACATTCTGTAAGATTTGAGGTTTTCACAGTGGTGAGTATGAAGATTTCCGTCTTCTGGGTTGTTGCGCTGTGTAGTCTGCTCGATGTTAACCAACGTTTCAGAGGTCATACTGCCTCCGTCATCAGAGTATGAAGATTTCTGTCTTCTGGGTTGTTGCGTTGTGTAGTCTGGTCGATGGTTACCAACGTTTCAGAGGTCATACTGCCTCCGTCATCAGGGCGATGAATATCGACCAGACTACACAGCGCAACAACCCAGAAGACGGAAATCTTCATAAAACATTCTACTTACACAGAATCACCTTGAAGGAAGAGTTCTGGACATTCCTTCAGTAAATTAACTTTAATCCATGCAAGTAATGTCTTTATTGTCCCTGAAAAAACAAAAAGAAACAAACATATTCAAACAAATTATTTGTAACACATAATGCCATTACTGGAGCTAGTTGTGATTACTATCAAGTTAACATAAATCTGCCTGATACCCTAGCACAACAGTTCCTACCTTGCAGACTACTGTACAATAACAATGATGTCATTCCATGTGCAGCACCGACATAGAATTAACTCCACTCTAACAAATCTACTGAATCAAATGACAACACAGTACAGAAATAATGATTCTTCCTGCATTAGTCCAGTTTTCATTATTTTCTATTATGTCTTAAAATTGAATATATGCTTGCATGTTTATTAGGCAGTCTACAAAGTTTCTTTCTAACTGCTGAAACATTAGATAACTATCAGCATTCAAGTGAAGCTACACATAGAACTCCAGCCATGAATTTCTCCTTTCAAGTAAAATTTCAGATTCTATTGAATATTAACACCTTAGTAAAGTAAAGCGTCCCACTATACGCCATGTAGGCACATTGGGGGAGTGGAGGTATAGCTCCTACTCTTTCTTGACCTCTGCACTAGATGGGGGTGTGTGGTCAGCAGCACGCCCCTGCCAGCTTTACCCCCGGGAAAGGACCCCGGTACCCATTGTAGAGGAGGCTGGGTGGGGAGCCAGTCCGGACACAGAGGCCAGAGGAAAAGTTACAGTGGAACCACGGTTCTGGAGAATGACGTAAATACGTCTCTGTATTTAAATTATATTTACGTCTCTGTAATGTAATGTAATGTTATCTTCAATGACATCCGTCTTGTTACGAAAGCGGATTGTTGATGGCAGTAATGTAACACAACAATGCCGAGTAAACAGATGACGTTTCCTAGGTAACATAACAATGCACGCAAGCTGACCATTGTTGTCGGTTCATATTTACACATTGTTGTCGATTTGTTGATACGGATCTTACACATTACCGACGACAATGGTCCATATTTACAAATTGTTGATATTTCCTAGGTAACCATGTTACACATTTTCCGTAACACTTTTTTGCGGAATGACCCTTCAATATAGACGTATTTACGTCAAAAATCATCTGCCCCCGTCGGGGATCGAACCCCGGTCGTCCAGCCTAGCTAGTCACTATAATGACTGAGCTATCCCGGCTCATGAATATTAACACCTAGTGCATGGTATTAACTATCATCAACTATTAGCATATTTAAACACATCCTGTTTCATCCTCACTTGAGTGCTACAAAATTTGTCACAGACGTAAAGTAGTATTCATTCTACATTATTAGTCAGTGCTTCAACATTTTCTGTTTTTACAGATAAATCATAAACATATGGAAATGGTTGCGAGATTGGATGTGGTGTGTACAAACAAACTACCTCAAACAGCAGTTAATCGACCAATAACAAACAAATATTTTGTAACTGTAATCCTTTCTCATCCCTTCCGTAAACTTCCTGCAAATGCAAATTTATTTCACTGTGCAAATGCTGTTAAAAGAAACCAATTTATAAAGTCGACCCTAACCTAAAATTCACAAACACACGATAAAAACTATTTAGAACTTACATGGTTCTTCCAAAGCCGGAAGGATAACATCATGCTTCTTAACTCTATTAAACAGTAATTCCGCTCCTCCGCTATAAAGAAATATACAACCAACCAATATAATTCTTCAATAATATTATTTTTGAAAAGGTAGTATTATGATTACATTAAATATAAACCATACTTCCACAAAACTAAATCAAATTTGAACAAAATTACATCTATTCTATTCTTTATATGACGCCAATAAAATTATGTATAAGCAATAACTTACCCAAACTCTAAAATAACATGTAATGACTGTGAAGACATCTTCAAACACAGCCAATACCAACCATAGAAATTATACAACTGTTCATATTCGGTGCCCTAATCACACAGATTACCAACACAATGGGGATAGGATTGCCATCTACCGTTATACGTGTGAAACACAACAAAACCACCATCGATAGCCTTTCCATTTATTCACGAAATAAATGACATTTGCCAAACACACAATTCATTTGCTTTTCCAACGGTAACTCAGCGGAGATAGCTTTAATTTATGCTACAGTTTTGTTTTTATACGTCTAAAAATGATAACATTTTCCAACACATTCTAAATGTTAAGTTATTAAAATCACTATAATTAACAATTAATTCTAAGACATTGTCCAATGGGTTGGGGCACCTCACAGTCTGGCAGAAGTTTACCAGCGTTTTAGACGTCTTTGCTGCTTCCACTGCCATAGCCCTGATGCTCTTTTAGACATAGAATGGCAGTGGAGAGGATGGGTCACTTCATTATGGTTAATGAATAATAAATTCTTTCCATTTGATTCGATTATAAATTTTGTAACTGTAAAATAATTACATGAAAAAACTGTCATTCCACATGCCTAACTACAGTCTATAAGCAAAAGACAGACAACAGACACACACAAAGGGCACTTTGTAATTTATACCAATCTGTTATGGCAAAAATTCTTATTTTACAACCTCCTACATAAATATAATAATATGTGCAATTAAAATTTGCTTAGGTGTGCCTCATGATTGACAGATCAATGTTACATCTACACCACTGTATGTTCCAAAGATGGTACAGCTTCCAGCACAAATGCCGACCCTCTGAAAACAATTACACTTCCAGATTCTAGTATAAACTTCTTCAGCAACATTCAAATTGTAGTGCACTTTTCATAAAGATACATGCTACTGAGATATACCATGGCTCTGTTATATCCATCTATCATATTATTTTAACTAATTATACATTAATTTCATTCTCTCATTTTTTCCATAAATGTTTATCTTCTGAAACCTGCTCTGCATTACAGAAAATTTAATATTAATTATAGCTTTCAGTGCCAGTCCCAAAGACTATATGGCCCAAAAAATGCCAAAGAACTAATTATTATGAATGTCCAAGTAACACTGTCAATGTCATCAAATGTTATCATCACCTCTAAACAAAAGAGAACAGTTGAATTTAAAATGTAGAATGGCAGATGCAGAGATGAACATAAGAGTGGGAAGGTGATACAAATGGAACACATATTTCCCTGACATTTTGTTTCCCATTTTCTGTACCTACATTACCTTAATATTTCATATCATCCTTCATCCTCCCACCCTCCATTCTAATATCCCTTTTGTACTATTATAAAAGTTTTCTAATGGTAGCAGCACTTTTAAAATGGATGGATATATATTTTTTTTTACCTATATTCTATTCAATTTCACTGCACCAAAATATATTTTTATATCTTACATAAGATCTATACTTTGTCATACAATAATTTATTTTGAAAATGGGAAATCTTTTAACTTTACATAAAGTAATATGATACAAGGAAAAATTAAATGTTTCAGACAAGCGACCCTCAATGCCAATTTCAAAAGGACATACACAAAGAATTCACCACAACTGACAATGACACTTTTACTGTTCATTTACCATCCATCTAAATCAGGGGTCGTCAACCTGGTCCCTACCGCCCACTAGTGGGCGATTCAAGCTTTCATGGTGGGCGGTGGGGGTTTTTGTCCATTGTTACAAATTTTGTTCTTCCTCCATATATCGAAAACATTGCTAACAACTTCGCGAATTTGACTTTTTAAAACATGCTTTTGCAATTTACTTTTGAATTCCATCTCTAAACTTTGAATATAGATAATAATTCACCGGACACTTCTTGAAGTATACTTGTGGACGAGGGAGCAACGAATGAGCTCCGTAGCCAAAGGCATGAGTTTAGTACGCATAACAAGAGCAGGGCTTACCACAGGCCATCACTCAGTCTTCGAGCTGTACCTCTTTCATGGCGGTGTGCAGTACGTGCGGCACCGGTGGGCGGTAAGGAAATTTTACCATCAACAAAGACACAAAAGTGGGCGGTAGGTATAAAAGGTTGACGACCCCTGATCTAAATGAATGTTAATGAAGACAATGACAGGCTGTATCAAATAAGCAATTTCCAAAACCAGGTAAAAAGAATGAGCATATGCCGGAACCATATTCAACAATCTCTTATTACGCGAGTCTCTTAAAATGAGTATAGCCAACAAAACAAAGGAACATAATGCCGTGTGTATGTACGAGTTATCCTCGCGAGTTGCCCTGCATCACTTGTGAATTCAACTGGCGAAGAACAGAGACAACCACCTGGTGAAGCGCCTAAAACAAGAGAAGCAGGGACCATGATGAGACACCGTCAGGCAACTCTATAGATCCACTCCAGCCAAGGCAAGTCACATCCTATTTATTTCCTACTTTTAAATTCAGACTCTTCTCAGTAACCGACACTGGGGGAGATGGGTGAGTCATGTGGTGCGCATGGATGGGGCAAGATGCGTTCACCGGGTATTGGTCGTGAGGTGTGAGGCGAAGAGACTGCTGGAGAGACATAGACGGGAGGATAATCACGGGCGAGATCTATTGGAGATAGGAGTTGAAGGAGACTGGAATTTGTTGCCCCAGGACAGGGACTGGTGGAGGGCTTTGGTTAATCCAGTGATGAACCTTCAGGTTCCATAAGCGATCTACTTAGTTATTCTGGGAATGTAAAATGATATTATTAATGGTAAGCATCTGAAAATAGAAGAATTGTTAATAAATTAGAAGACAGAGCACATCTCAACATGTCATTTTCAATATTTATTTTGCCTGTATTAAAATTCCTCTACATAACATTCAAAATCCAGAAAAACCATAAAACCTGAAAAGCAACATAAACAGTGACAGTGCCGTAACTATGATCAACTATGCGCTGATAAGGAAGCAGTCAACTTTCATACCTGTGGTTTGCAGTGTTCCTCCAGCCAGCTGATAACGCCACCTGACAGCTCTCCGAAGTTAGCAACAGGGATGTTGCTGAAAGTGAGGAACAGTTGGTCCATTATTGCTCGAAACTGCAAACAGAGAACAAAATTGTTTGAGAAGAATCTTTCATCTTACCATGTTATCTAGGACCAGACTGTGATCTTGATACTTGCAAGGAATGCAGGAAGTCCGTAGCGTTAAAGGCAGATGCTATCTTTCCTCCTTCCTCCTTCACCCCGCAAGTCTCTAGATTACAGTCGCGGACTGTACATATGATTGTTTGATTTGCAAAGTTTATGGTGTTGTAAGTTATGCGACATAAGCATTATTATAAATATGTCAAACTCCTGCATTCAGGCTGGCGTAGGTGCGACTCACCACCTGAAACTTGGTTTCATCCGACACTCTCATATCAGCCTGACCAGGTTGGTTCTGATGCGCCTTTACTATCTGCTCGTAGTTGGCCTGCATAATGCGCAATGCCACCACCTCCTTGCGCAGAGCATTGCGTTCTTCCTCCTGCTTCTTCTTCTGTTGCACGAGAAACTGAAACACACAACTCCCGTTGCAGACGACCACATTAAAGTGTAATACTGATATTTCCCACATAATGGTTGCATCTGTCGACTGGCACGTTTCATCTTTCAGCTCGCATCATTTGACACAGCAACTGACACGTCGTACTAAAAGTAACTTCTTTGCTCTGATTCAAGTTAAATGCCGAGTCTGATGATTCAGAATGTGATATCACACATTTTGTAGTCAATACCAACCTGAATGTAATCGATTGACTTCTGCAGAACAGTGGCTTTGCTGAGTTTGTATCCAGAACTGTCTGTCTGCTGACAGGTCGGGACGAGGTCCTGCAATGAGTCATATCCCTTCTTTATGGCATCACGACGCTTCTGCTCAGCCTGGGTGTGAGCCTCACGACGCCGTTCCTTGTAGCTGATTGTCGAGTTCTTGTTGTCACTGTCCTCATCATCTACGAAAACAATTCCACAATAATTATTTTCAGAAAACTCCACAATAATAAAAATGAATCCCAATTGTACCTCAATCCCTCGTGGTAAATATCAGGATTTTAAATTTAATTCACTTTTAAAAAAGACTTTTATAAAAACACACAAACAAAAGAAGATAATGCTAATGAATTTTAATAACTATGCAAAATGATGAAAAATGGTGCAGTGTACCACTAGTAAAATACAATTTGTTGACTAAAGATAAGAATCTTTTATATATGTAATCACATCCTTATGTAACAAAACTCACTCAACATCCTTTTGTGATAATGGCACAAACTGTGAAGTGAGACAAAGCACAGTCCAAATTATTTTGAGTGAAGTACTGGTATGATATTTTAACAGGGGTCTCTACCCCTTCTGACACACTCTCAAAGTTCTGTGTGCATTATCTTTTCCCTGCATTGTTCTTAACATGTGGCTGCACTAACATAAGTATGTCTCTATATAGCCATTATCTAAGGTATGGGACAGCAACCTGTGCCTGCTGGTTTGTGGGGGCTGCATACATATTTATAATAGTGTATCACCCTGCATAAAAATTAGTTACAGTCTGAATAAAAAATTTAGTTGTAAGGAAGTGATAAAAATTACAAGTAAAGCAATTCATTAAAGAAAATTACTGAGTAATATTTGAACTGCTGTGCAATAGTGTCATAAATTTTGCCATTTATAATCCAGCCCTCAAGCTGATAACAAAGTGGTCCCAGGTTCAACAAGGTTGAGAATGCCTACTCCAAGCAAACCAATCATGATCATGCACCATTCCACAAGTCTGATGACAGATGAATTACCATGACCACTGCTGCTACTCATGTTCCCGGTGGCCACACCTCCTTGGCCCTCACCTGTGTTGTGGGCAGATGATGACAGTGTGTGAAGGGATCCAGTACTGCTGCTACGTGAAAATGGATAATGATCTCGATCTATTGGACTTGATGGTTCCACCTTCATGTTTTCGACACTGTCTATCATTCCACGTGGCAGTGACACTGAAAAAGAAACCACGGTTTAATAACCTATTATAAACAGTGAAGACTGCAACTGCGGTTATGAGACAATACACATGCTTCAACTGCGGTTATGAGCCAACACAACTGACAAAATTGCTTAATGAAATAACAATATTACTAGCAGGCATAAAAATCAATACAGATATAATACAATTCTTTTATAACAAAAACAGTACTATAATGATAAAAAGTTTATCTCATAACAAAGTGGTTACATGAATGTAAAACTTTTTAGTAGCAAGCACAATATTTTATAACACTCCATGTACTTTAACGAACAGCACTGACACTTTTATATTACAATGCAATACTTAACTGTTTTATACAAAAATTTCGTCCTACAAAAACGCTATAAAAGTTATTGCGTACGACCACGTCGTACCTACACCGGATTATCACAGCGCTCACTTTTGATCGGTAGCCTATCGTTATGCCATCTATCATTGAGCAAGTGTTAAGGCAACGATGAGAGGAGACAATAGCCAAAGTTCAGTCGGTAATAAACGCAACCTGCTCTTCAACATTTATTACCTTAAGAGCCCCCTTCATGCCCCACCGCCCAAATCACAACCAGGGTACGCGACCTGCGCTTGTATCAATTACATATTTTGAAACCCTGGCATTGCAGAGGAAATTGACTGTACATTAGTCATACTACGTTATTCATATTTGTTTATAAACAAATAATCAATTTCTACTCTTGAAATGTTCTACATCCTTGGCTTAGGCCTATGATGGATCTATGGGAATGCAAAACAAGTTCTATCCTATTCGTACTACATCGTTCAGGTAATATGAAGTGTCATTTTACTGACATCCACATGACTTAGAAACTTCCTCAGTAACACAAGACTTCCTTCCGGGGTGCATAAATATTTTTACAAAGTTTAATTAATAAACATCAGTTCTGAGGACTGATGATGTTGGAAAAACCTAATGAAAAATGAGGTAAAGTAGATTCCTGATTATATGAGGGCAGATTAACCAGGTAGTTAACCAACCTGGATAATCAGGAGTCCACTTTACCTATAAAAGCAACTTCAATTATATTCTATTCAATTTATTAGAGATGATATATACACACACACACACTCATACAAACACATACACATGCTAGCAAGCATGCACACATACACTTTGTTACCCAATTAACAAGGACACACGTTTGGACATATTTATCTGTTTAACAATAAGATTTCAAAATATAAAGAATCATTATCCAGTTTGGTCTTTTCTTACACACACAGACAGTCACACAAGTAACCAGAAAAATTAATTAGTAAGCTCTCACATTGCACAATATGTTTAGAGGCAGGCTTTAGGGGGAGACAGGTTATTCAAAACATGTCAACACGAATAAAAATCACATGAATACAATCATATTTCAAGGTCACTTCTAGATATTTTGGTCTATTCACACACATTAGACAAGTTCTTTCAATATATCCATGTACTATTTTGACACTTTTAGTTTTAAACATACAATTCTCTTCCCCACTCTTTCTTTTTCTCTTAGTTTCCCTTTACAAAAGTCACGATTCGCGTTCATAATATTTTTATCTTTCAATCAACAACATTTACATAAAATATTTATGCATTACAAAATTTAAACTGTGGGAATATCATTTTAGAAATAAAATTATAATAATGGTTTCTACATTTACAATCATATATAGTTCTACTACGTCCTAGTCATCCTATAACACCCCCAGGTTGTATCCTCAAGAATAATGCAACATATATAAGCCTGAGTTCTACACGCAGAACAACGAAAAACACTTCATACAGATACAGGTCTAGAGAATTCTCCTTCCTCAGTTACGCCTAGCTCTTATTCCCTTTTTAAATTTACTACGAGATTCCGTTGCTTCCCTTCTGCACTCTGAGCAACTCTATGAAATTGGAGCAAAAGAAGGACAGTCAAACTTTTGGCAACACACATTAGTATCAACAGCACCTGTTCCACTTACGGCTTAGTGTGCAACATCCAAATTCCATGACCGCCCAATAAATTTAATTTACTTTAATAATAGTATTAAATGGCAATGTTAAAAATCTTGCAATAAGCACCATTTAAACAGTCTGGCTGTAATGGTGTTAAAAACATCAATTTTTGGCGAGTGTTTCTTCAAGATTAATGTTCATTTATTACAATAAAGAAGAGAGATTCCAATTTCTTTGATGGGCATGCAAATGGCAATGCTATGGATGCCAGAAGCCCACAGAAGACATTCTGAACACTTTCAACACAATTTTGACATCACGTGTGGGCTGCAGCAAATGAACATACGACGAGGCAACAGAAATTTTGGAAACGGAAGGGGGCGGGCTGTAAATTAGGAAGGACAATTTTCTTGATCTATGTCCACAAGTAGTTATATCATTGTTCTGGGACGTGGAACTCTTCCACCATTACATTACTGCCAGACCTTTTAGTTACACACTGCATACAGTCAGTGGTTTCAATACAAGAAAGTGAACACATGGAAATGTGAGACCATATCTTATAACCAAAAAGTTATCACATGCAAAAATACATGCGCTGTATGTTGATTTATTTTTTCTTGGTTTATTTAATTAAACTTTCTTAACCGCAAATGTTATGTAGCGTAGGATGGTAAGACGACTACAAATTATGAATGTGTAAGGAAGCAGTTATGGTTTGTTTTAAAGGGACTAAGAAAACCTCAAGTCACCTCCAGGCTAAAGTCTGAACTAGGTATCTCTCAAAAGTGACATCACTTCTGGACCTACCACAGGAATAAACATAGATGCTGAACAGTATTTGCCACATTACAAGAGAGAATACTTTGATTGGATCTCAGAGAAACTGGCAGTGAACTAGACTGAACTGGCTGAGGCTCGCTGTGATGCTAAATGAAGGTGAAAGACCTTTCGAATTGCATAAAAATTTCTTTGACATTTGTTCAAGGTACCATGGAAGAGATAGACCAATCCACTAACCTGAGGTCCCAGGTTCAAATTTTGACCTGAAGACTGACTATTCTGACAGGTGTTTGTCAGTCTCTCCAGGAAGATGACAGGAGAGAACCTTAAATTAAGCCACAACCACTTCCATATGATTTCCAATTCACCAATCTTCCAAACATTCAACCATACATAGTCTCAGCTAGTTAATGTTGTATGGTAATCACAAATTAAAATAACATGACACTTTGCTGAAATTGCTAGGTACATAAAGATATGATAGGTACAGACATCCTAAACATATTCATATTCAAAAACATTTTAAAATGTAAATATTTATCATGTTAGTGATTCTGATACTGAAGCACATATGAAGAATGCAATGTTAGATTCTTTTTTTTACTTTCTGTTTTACAGTGATGTAACTGAACCAGCAAGACAAGTTTCTTCACATATGTTCACAGATTGCAAAATCATGAAAAAGGATTTGATTTTCAGCATCTTAGACACTTCAACAGAACAGCTTGACAAATCTTGCATACACGATGCTACATCCTAGAAGACAGCCATCTTCGAACACACCGCCGTGAAAACCTCAAATCCTACTCATTTGATTTATCTTCAGCATACTCTGAAGCAAACGCTGTACCGAAATGTCCTTTCCACACTGAATACCCTTTGTACATTTTGGAACAGTCACATACAAATCATACCCAAAATTGAAAGTAGCAGTCGACTGTTTATGAAAGCTTCCACTATAAATTCTTGCTTCAGAACTGCAGACCTGACACTGTCTTTACCACCAGTACATACTGTCGTACTCACTGCACAACTAATCACAATCATATGCTGAAAAGTGTTATTGGACAGGTCAGGTTTGAAGAAAGACACATCCAGTAGGTTTTAATTTGTGTCTAAACTGTACTTTCGTGGTCAAGTTTCAATGAAAAAATGAAGTGGCAAATTCAATGTGATGCTTACAATCACATGAGCTTTTATCACAGGTGCAACATGTCCAAGTCCAAATGACATTTATCATGTTCATAAACTTACAAAGTAAGCCTGAATTACATTCTTTTCGAGTGTCACAACAAATCTTTTCTTTCTGTAACACTCGACAGTAACTCACTGCAATTTGCCAACAAACAACACCTACAAATACATTAGGCAAAGCTCATTATACTTTGCGAGATTGTACTTACGTTTCGATACGTGCTTTCTCAACGTTGTGCCAAATAAATGCATCCCCCCCCTCCCCCACCTATACCTTCGAATCACTCAAGACTCTGGCACCAAACAGTATGAAAATAAATATGATTGAGGATAAAAGTTATGTTTCAAAGCAAATAAGGACTTTGTACTTTACGCTCATGGGCTTCTATCCGCCATCTTCCCAACCACAAACAATGAGTCTGATGCAACAAAAACAGACTTTTTGCCTAACAAACCAGTGCTCAGTTGCCCTGTGTCTCAAACAAATCCTAAGCCATTTCCGACAACATAAAATGTTACACGTTTGTAAGGCATATTTATTATTTACAGACATCAATGCATGAAAACGCAAGTCTAAGTTACTTACAAAATAGAAGGACATAGAAGCTCTCTGGTACACATCTATGCCATTTACCAAATAATAATAATAATAATAGTAATAGTAATAATAATAATACATGCTTCAAAATTTGATAGAGAAATCCTTCCACTACACAAATTTCATAAACATTTTTCTGCATGCTACACCCTTCCAATTAAAAATTTCAAAAAAAAGCTTCTAATTATACAAAATGAAACAATTTTCTCTGAGTAACCAACAAAAAGTTGTAAACTTTCTGCGTGCTTCAGTATCAATTTCTAAATAAAACATCGCTGTGTGAATTTTGTGCGGTACACCATCAAGCGAGTCAGAAATTTGTAAAATTTTCGTACAGCGACGTCTTCTACATCGTGAGGCATTCTTCAGCTTGCAACGATCGGAAATCACGATAAAACCGTTTGGTATTTTAATGTAAACATCACGGACAACTGATTACCAATCCAACCCTCGTATGATCCGAAGATTTGCAGCGATTAGATGGTGTGAGGAACGCAACGTCCACACACCACATTGTGGCAGTACGTACTGATATAAGGCCTTGCCTCTTTGCTGTACATATAAAATCATGTGTGAATAACATCCAAATGGAATTCAATAATTAGCCACTTCTAATATGGCAAATGTTAATAAATAATAAGGTATTGCAACATGCTACGTAACGAATTTATGTGTGAGAAGTTAAAAAAAATAATTCTAATAACAATACATCTTGCCTATTAATATATTCACTTCTTTCTTGGTATTCATATATATGTTTTACCCTTAAAAACACGCTAACTCTTAGATTTTGGAGCGCTTGCTACGACTTTTGTGACTGCGTCTCGGTTTCTTTGTCTCCTGGAAAGGACCACTTCCAGAAACAACTCCTTTAAAGCTACGTAATACTTCATCACTAGCTTTTCTCTTCGAAGCTACACCATTTGCTTTGGCAGGTACCTGAGTGGCCACTGCTGACGGTGGTTGTGGCCACTCCTCCTCTTTCACTGATGTCACTGTTGCTGGAGCAATAATTTCTTCTTCTTTCTTAATCGAGGAATCCCAAATCTGTTGCTGAATAGCCCAAGCCATGTCACTGTTACTGGTTCCTGCGATTGGCACAAAATCAATACATTCGTCTGCTTCTGCTGCAAACTCGAGGCCTAACCCCTCTGGCACGACACCCTGGTTGGCGAGGGCCATCAGGTCTTCTGAAGCAACAGGAGCCATCACTTTTCCACAAGAAACACATAATGTAGGATTGGCCGGAGACTTTGATCGCCAATACTGTAGCTCTGTCTTGCACTTGTTCAGTTCCTAGAGAAAAGCAAAGTAAGTAAACAGTACTTACAGTTTCTTCTGGTATTAGCTTGAAAGAGGCCAACAAAATTTTTGTTATCATAACCTAATGTTAACAACACAAAAGGCTATCAATCAAAACAACTGTGAACCAGTTCAATGAAATTCACTTAATAACGAAATTCAACGTAATACATCATCCTTAAGTGGTACAGTAATTAAACTGGCAAAGAAATTTATGAGTTTATTCTCCTTTTTCCAGTTTTAACAATGTTTATACATTTTCCGGTACCCTTTTACGGGTCCCCAACTTTTTTTTAGTTGGCTTGATCTATGGACATTCGGTAGGACTCCTTGGACGAGGGATCGGCCCGTCGCAAGGCCTCTACCTGTACACAGGACAGCACAACACAGAAAAACGCGGACAAACATCCATGGCTTGAGTGGGATTTGAACCCACGGTCCACGCAACCAAGCGGCACAAGGCCCACGCCTCAGACCGCGCGGCCACTGCGGACCCCCCATTTATGAGTTTATGAAAAATAAATATTAAACACCACATTCACAAAAGCCAGCCAATTTACCTAATCCTAAGCTACCATGAAACCTTCAAGATCCATTTTAATACGATCCTGCCATCTACATCTTTGTCTACTTAGAGATTTCTTCACCCAAGGTCCTCTAGCAAAAATTCTGAAGCATTACTTCTTCAATCCTATTTGTTCCGAAAGAATCTATCTCCATAAAACAAAATTTAAAATCATCTGGGCATAAAGTCTTCATCTCCTATGTTGCCACAAGAGCATACATCTAAATTTGAATTGTGAATAAATCTAGTTGTTTCTATGAGCTATAATTTGAAAATATCTACATACAAAAATTATCTAAAATTTGGGCTCTTCACAGATTCAGACTATCCATTACACCAAACAGCCCAAGCCTGTGAGGTTTTATTTCAATTCTGCTAGCCACAAATTGCCTTCAGAGAAAATGATGGACAGTTTGTTATGATATACTATATTGTAAAAATTTGGAATTCTGCCTTGCTTGGTTATAATTTTACACCCATCTGAACATTTTTATATATTTTGACATTTTACATAATTTTAGAGCTATCTTGTTAAGTTTGTGAGGTTACCAGTTTTTGTGAAACTAATGAAAAGAAATAAGAAGGCAGAATTCTTTAATAACGCCGCTCAATGACCGAGTTTGCTATAAATATGCGCGTTTCTTTCTGTTGCTACTAATCGCACACTTTAATTCTGTTTCCTTGTTGGCCACGTGCACTCACCTGCAGCAAGGTGCTAAACTTGCGAGACGTCTCCTCATTTTTCTTGTCGGTCTCGTCCATCCGGCTCGCATATTCCAAGATCTGCTTCTGCTGCTCTGCAATCTTTCCCTTGCTATGAGTTTATGAAAAATAAATATTAAACACCACATTCACAAAAGCCAGCCAATTTACCTAATCCTAAGCTACCATGAAACCTTCAAGATCCATTTTAATACGATCCTGCCATCTACATCTTTGTCTACTTAGAGATTTCTTCACCCAAGGTCCTCTAGCAAAAATTCTGAAGCATTACTTCTTCAATCCTATTTGTTCCGAAAGAATCTATCTCCATAAAACAAAATTTAAAATCATCTGGGCATAAAGTCTTCATCTCCTATGTTGCCACAAGAGCATACATCTAAATTTGAATTGTGAATAAATCTAGTTGTTTCTATGAGCTATAATTTGAAAATATCTACATACAAAAATTATCTAAAATTTGGGCTCTTCACAGATTCAGACTATCCATTACACCAAACAGCCCAAGCCTGTGAGGTTTTATTTCAATTCTGCTAGCCACAAATTGCCTTCAGAGAAAATGATGGACAGTTTGTTATGATATACTATATTGTAAAAATTTGGAATTCTGCCTTGCTTGGTTATAATTTTACACCCATCTGAACATTTTTATATATTTTGACATTTTACATAATTTTAGAGCTATCTTGTTAAGTTTGTGAGGTTACCAGTTTTTGTGAAACTAATGAAAAGAAATAAGAAGGCAGAATTCTTTAATAACGCCGCTCAATGACCGAGTTTGCTATAAATATGCGCGTTTCTTTCTGTTGCTACTAATCGCACACTTTAATTCTGTTTCCTTGTTGGCCACGTGCACTCACCTGCAGCAAGGTGCTAAACTTGCGAGACGTCTCCTCATTTTTCTTGTCGGTCTCGTCCATCCGGCTCGCATATTCCAAGATCTGCTTCTGCTGCTCTGCAATCTTTCCCTTGCAATTTCGCAGGTCACGGCGCATAAGCGTTAGTTGGTTGTTATATCTGCGGATATATTCAACTATGTTCAACGTGCACTTTAAATATTTACTTATAATGCCACGGTGTTTCAATAAATTGGTCATTACGTATAACCCTGCAGGCCACAAATCAATATGAAAGTGAGCCCTTCACTTTTATTATCTTTACAGCAGTATGAATTGTACTTGTATAATATGAATTGTATTGTAATGACTAATTCCACATCCTATCGTCATCTAACTTATAGATCCATGAAATGTAATTTTTTTTGTATCCAGTACGCACCATTCAGAATGGTGTGCATTGGTGGTTAGCAGGATTCACGGCCCCTCAGTACATGCGCTCGATCGGGACCGCGACATTTAACGTTCCTGCTGTGACCCCATTTTAGCGAGATAATGATGAGAGTGGAGTAACTGTTGGGATGCCACGGAGAAACTGGGGAAAACTCCATTATGCCTAGACCAACGGCCTTGTCAAACGCAAGTTGTAAATCTGAGCACTGTCGGGAATCAAACCCGGGACCCCAGTATTACAAGCCCAGCGTTCAGACTGCTAGACCACCATGGCGGTTATGAAATGCAATAATATGCATGTATGCACAGACATATGGTAACTGAGATGCATTTTAAACTTGCATATGCATAAAGTAATATACATATAACGAAGTTACTTCTGTGGCAAAAAGCTTAACCAAAGAAACTTATCTTGACAAGCAATAATTTTCTTTTCATTTGCCTTATAACTTTCCACTGACAGGATTATCACATTTAACCAGGAACAGAAAGCCGCCCTCAGTGGACTAGTGGTTATCGTGCTTGCCACTGGACCCCAAGGTTCGTGGGTTCAAATCCAGCTGACGTCGATGAATTTTTAAGGGTGATAAAATCCATAGCACAACTTCCTTCAGAGGGGAAGTAAAGCCGGCTGTCCCATGTCATAGATTTACGGCTCGTAAAAGAACGTTACAAGCATGAACAAGACGTTTCGAAAGAAAGAGTCAGCGGCCATTTCTCACCCGTCTCTCCTGATTCACTACTAGATGGCTCTAGCAGTCAAATCAGGATTGAGTAGAAATTGTGCAGAGGTAGTGGGCTGGTCGCTCACTACTCACAAACGCACACTTTGAAGACTAGGAAACCTCCGAAAAAGGAGGCGGCGAAAACCCACAACCAGGTTGTAGAGCCAAGAAAGAAGAAGAACCAGGAACAGAAAGCAATAACAAATACACCTTTTCATTCCTTGCTTTATCTTGCGAATGCGCTTCCGTAGCACCATGTTTGACTGGGGTAAGGGTTCTGGTGCTTGTTCCTCAATGTCATTAGCAAGGTTCGGCGACTCGTCTCCCTTGTTGGTGCTAGTGCGAGATGGAGAATCCAGGCTCAGATATGGTTTTGGGGTGGAGGACGCTGTAAACAATTAACCCAATGACAACCAAATGAGTTTAAAATTCAAAATAAACATTACTACCAACAAACAAAAATGAAACCACAAGAAAATCACAATTTCTTTTAAATAGAAATCCGACTGACATTCAACTGGTTCTTAAACTAGTAATTTCATAAATAATTAATTACTTGTCCCTGCCAAGTGGTAACACTCACTTGCAAACGTTCCAGTGAAGTCCAAGAAGTCGGTACTAAAATATGCAATCTCTGGTAACGTGGGCTCAATGTGTTCCTTGAAGTATTCCATTGCCATGGTGGACAGGTCAAATAGCTCGTCGGTCACTTTGTATGGGCGCGACAACTTCTGTGTCACTTTGATGTAGTGAAGAATTCGAAACACCTCATCCAGGATCTGAAACGCAGAATATTATTTTCATGACAACTCATAGGGCCTTTTGGGTTGTAATGCCATGTGAACTTGTAAGTATATACCAACATTTTAGAGGAAAACATTGCCACCGTCTTCAGACCAACAAAAATTGTACTTAAGCGGCGATACGTTCCAGCTTACTTTGAATTCCTTCAGCCGTCCCTCATTTTTGTGTTGTTCTCGCCTTCCTTTTTTTCTTCCTCCATCTTCACAGTCAGGTTTTCCGTAACAGAACCTTTTTCACATTTTAGACGTCTTCCCAAGCGCAATCTTATAGATATAGATTCAGACGATTCTCGAAACTAACGACAGTTTAAAAATAAATTTTTGATACCAATATTCATGTAAGTATTTTCACAATTCTTTCTTCCCATCAGCGTAACATACCAAAAATATCCAATATACACATACGAAAGAAGCGATCATCCTATACAACCCTCTCCACACCTTTATCCATAGGACGAAACAAACGAACCTCTCCTGCGAAGAAGCAGCAATGCTTGCGTTCGATGTGCTTGCCAAACGTCATCTGTAATAGTGTGAGCCGCATGTGGAGTGTCTCTACGATGTCGGATTCGCAGGCCAGCGGGTGGTTGCGCCTGGCAGATTCACGGCGTGGCATCTTAGCTTTGATACCCTGGAACCGCTGCAACATTTGAGCCTGGAGACGCTGGAAAGTTGAGTTCAGGATGGTGCAACAGATCCCATCCATTTTACGACAAACCTGTGACATAACATGTGCCTTCATGGAGACTGACTCTATTCATTGTGACCACCACAAAAACTAGGCATATGCCACGAGTTTTCAGCATGTTATTAACCTTCAAAAAACAATTCCCAATGTTTTACTGGTCTCCAATATATAAGAAGTCCAAACATAACCTCGCTGAGAGAGTTGAATATAAAACCTTTCCAAGAAAATTTCAATTTTCACCTTTATGCAATGTTGTTAATTAGAAGCTATAAGGGTCATGAACAGACAATATGTAAGTAGGATGAAAACATTTATAAATACAAAAATAAAAAATTTCAATTCAGGCACCAGTGGAATGAGGAAGAACATGGTTACGGCATTATTACGAGGCGCGTCCTCAAAGCAAGTTTCCCACTCATCCCACAGCTAGCAAACCTTATATTGCACGAAGCGACTGTGCGTACGTGATAGAGCAATGACGTAGCATGGCGCATGCACTAACGGCACCTCCCGCGTTCTCACAGTAGCATCGTTGAAGCGGTTGAAGATGGAGTTTCTTATTCCAGCTCCCGCCGACTGTGAAGTGCGGTCAGTGATAACGCTAGGCCGCACACGGCTCGACGGACAGCAAGTCTCCTGCAGGAGTTCAGCTGGGAGGTGTTTAATCATTCACCCTACAGCCCGGACCTCGCTCCCAGTGATTTCCATCTTTTCCTACACCTCAAGAAATTCCTGTCCGGTCAGCGTCAGCATATATTTGACAATTTTTTGGACGTTCAAAGATAGCTGTCTACGTTTTGGATTTGTGTGTGTCCGTCTTCAGATGACTGGCTGGTCGACATACTGATACATTTCTGATAATCTTAAAATAAAAAAAAAGGCTAGAAAATCTGTCTCTATAATGACAAAGCAGTTAATAGGAGAACTGAACAATGTCCAACACAGATAAAATAACCACTGCCTCAAAATTGTAGACAATCGTGAAAAGACAGCGTTCTATAAAATACTTTTCAAACTAAAAGATTTGAACAACCATTTTCTATGTATAAATATATACCATGCCACAAATATGAATCCCTATGTTTATTTATGCACCACACCATGATGATGTATGGGGGAGTTGAGGTACAGGTCCACATATTCTTATCTCTGGACTAGATAAAGGTGAGTGGTCAATTTCATGCTCCAACCACTTCACCCCTGAGGAAACAAACATGGAACCCACTGCACAGGTTAGGTTGGCCCCTCAGCCAACTTGGACCTAAAAAATCGTTGTCCGTGCCAAGTATTGAACCCTAATCATCCATCGGGTTGCTAGTCAATATACTGACTGTGATGTCAAACCCATCTCTGGGTGGTATTATTATTATTATTTAGTGTTCTGTCTGACGACAGGTCCATATGAACAAGATCCTTCCATCCTTTTCTCGGACTGGGACCTGTTCATATACGTTCTTGGCAGATGATCCAGAAGTCGTTTGCCATTGCCTTCTTCTGTGTGTGAATGGAGTAATTGTTGGGATGCCACGGAGAAACCGGGGAAGCCCCCGGAGGAAAACTCCGTGTTGCCTAGACCACGGCCTTGCCCAACACAAGTTATAAATTCGAACCCGAGACCCCAGGATTACAAGGCCAGCGTTACGCCGATGATCAACTCCCTCAGATAGTCATAAAATTTTACCACCTTTTGTGGAACTCCAAGGTTTATTGGTGTATTCATTCCTGTCCACAGCCAGATTAATCTAATCCATACACTCAAAACCAACAATCCATTTTAATATAATATTCTCGTATTTGCCCGTCTCCCCCAAGTGGTGTGTCCTTCAGCTCATCTGACTAAAACTTTGTATGCATTTCTGAATTCGTATGCACGCTACATAGCCTGTTGATTTCATTCTCCTTTATTTTATTATACTAGTATTTGGTAATGGGAACAAATTATGAAGTTCATTATGCAGATTTTTGCTGCACTTTCTTACTTCCTTCAGGTCAAAATATTCTTCTTGTTACCCCACCTCAAGTGCCCTCTCTCAGGGTGAGAGACTACACTTTGCACTCATAGGAAACTAGTAAATTAATTATTTGTGTAGATAGCAAAAACAAAATATTTTGAACTGCATGGCAACAACAATTCCTTGAATGTAAATCCACTCTTCATTTCTCTGTGATTAATTATGATTTGATAATTGTCATTCCCATAAATTTAAACTTGTCACATTTTTAAGTACTTTTTAGCTGACACTGAACATTTACAACAACAGCATGATTCATTAAAGAACAAATCTCTCAAACAAAAGTCACTGGCAAGACCTAATCTTCCATATGGATCAAAAGACTGGATAGGAAGACAAATTTATTCAACTGAAGCTACTGCAAAACACTGTGAGAAGTGTAAATATATTTTAAAGGATGTACAAGTTAATAATATTGGATACAATTTTAGATTACAGAAATCATTCAATGATTACATGTGAGTAATGGATGTTTCCACACAACCCATGTTCTATGTTGCAGGTCATGATGCATTAGACTAAAAGATGGTCCAAACGGCCCTTGTGGTAGTTCCATAACAGTGTTATGTTACATCAGATTACACCATTTCCGATAAAATGTGTTAGCACAGATGTTATTCTCAATTTGCATGAAATTAGGTTAGGTTAATCCAGTTCATCAAATATTCATGGATATGATAGTTTGCAGACATGTAAATTGGTTTCTTCCAAGGATGTGGAAGGAAAGTCATGGCCTAATTTAAGCTTCTATCCTGGCACTTGCCTGGAGGGAATGAGGAAAACCACAAGAAACCCAGTCAGGATAGCCAGTCTCCAGGATGAGATATGAACCTGAGACCTCCCAAATATAAAGCAGGAGTGTTAACCACTAAACCACAACATTCGGTCAAAGAGGAAGAAGGGAGATGGAAAGGTGTGGGAGAAGCCACCAGATTTCCAGCTTCCCAATCTTATGCATCGAGTTTCACGCAACTAGGTTTACCAGAATATACAGCATGCACAAATTATTTTAAAATGTAAGGTTATTCCTCTGTTAATGTTTATGGCTTCCAACTTTTATGGAATCTCTCAATGTTCTCAGAAAACAATGGTACTTACCTCAGTCACATTTAATCTTCCAGCGTCTAGATTGATTCGTGAGCAACTGGTATCTACTCACAAAGTATAAAATACACAAATATGGTTACACCAACAGGCAATTCAACAGCATACACAAAATATGAGCGTAAATCGAAATCTCACCGGACGTAAATAAGCAATAGTTCTGTATGATAGGCTTCCCAGAATCTTCAGCATAATTTCTGGTGGCAGATCCATCAAGTTTATGGCTTGTGTAGGCAAAACTTCTGCAACGTGTGATGATGTGCTCGATTCTGGTAAGGAAGGAGCTGGGGCATTATTGTGGCGTAAAGTTCTCGAGGGACCTGCCTCAGAAACAACAGCTGTATTTTCCCCACCACCCCCAACATTGCTGGACTGTCGAGTTGAAACCATGGTCCCAGAGAATTTATATCTTGTTCTGTAGTACAATCTGCAAAAAATACGAGTACGGCAAATAATTTCAGTTGCACCAATTTTTTGTTTTCTTCAAAGAACTGCCATTAAACAAAAATTAGGTCTGCTTAAAATTAATTAACCTATTTTTAAAAAATATCATTATGGACACATTTAACCATACTTCAGCTCCATGTTACTAACGCTAAGAAATCAATCAAAGTAATGAAAAATTAAACTATTCTCAACCTACGCCACGGAAGTAAAGCTTTGCTACATCAAAAAAATGGATGATCATACCCCAACAGAGTTGAGTCTTCAGCACATTTGCGATTCTGAATAAAACAGCATTTTGCTCAAAAGCGTATTTTTTTCCTATGTTTTCCACTTAGCTGATTAATTCTTCTCGTATTCGGATGTGAATTTCACCCCTCAAGGTTTGTGCTATTCACAAAGAAAAATTGAAATATGCAGTAGAAAGTTCACCTTCCCTAGAGTTTCCAAAAGCAAAGAACTTCGACTAACTCCACAGGATCGAAGAGCGCACACTCGAACTCGCTAAATCTTATTGAGAGCTAGCGACGTGCCGTGGTGAATGCGTCAATTATGTTGAACGTTAACAATGGACAACAAAACGACGGCCTTTTTTAAACTTATTGTAAGTTCGAGACAAAAGATAAAGTAGCAAGAATTACGAACATTTGAATACGGGAGTCAGTTTTATAGGCAATACTACAAAGTGTTACTTTCAGATACATTATAAGGATCTCCGAATAAATATTACATAATATGAAAGACCGCCCCTTCATTCCCCTTTCTTTCTTTTTCTCCGTATCTTCATTGGGGCAATACTTTAAAATAGGCTAGTATTCTCACTTCTATAACCTCCACATAATCAATGTCTTCATAAGCCCACAAAATTTGCGAGACATAAAACTGTAAATGTAAAGGTGGATTCCATCAGTAATTTTCTATGACTCATTGTGTCTATTCTGAGAGGTAGTCCTCGGTCCAAATCCTGACCGGGTACCGGCTAACTTGATTTTCCTCAGTCTCCATACTGAACTGCCGAGATTATCAGGTAAACTATACAACTGCCACAAAACCCAAACACCACGCCAAGAAGACAAAGAAGTCTGCCACAATCGTAACCTCGGAATCAGTACTAGATGGCGCAGTGGTCGACTTCTCGTGTCCTGGAGATGGGTTTGAAATAGAGCCAATTGGATTCTGAGCTGTGTGGGCTCCAAAAAAACGACGTGTAATCCTCGGTTTTGCTGTGGACAAGGCAATGGCAACGAATTCCGTTCTTCACGCTCTGGCGCGAGCAGTGAACAAAGAAAACTGTATGGGGCCGTCCATGTCTGTCTGTGTGACGTGTTTCCTGAGAACTAGGTTAGGTTATATTTTATATATATATATATATAAATCGTAATAAGTAAAGTTGAGTTTTCGTAATTGCCCGTGTTATGGCGTGAAACGCGTTATGTATTCTTCACGGGCTAAATTGTTCGACGTTGACAACGTTGTAAAAATGTATACAGAAGCCCTTTAAGGCGCATATATTTTTATACTCGACGGTACTTTCTACCACGTGTCCACATTGGTGTGCCGCGTTCAGTCACAAAGCCTCGCAGGTGATATGCATGGCCGGTTTAACTTTCGCCTCACTGCGTTTTACTTGTTCGACCAGACGCCCAGCGGCGTGAAATGAACGTTATGAAAGTTATTTATTTAGGTAAAAACTTAATTCTTCTACGTCACAGATAATCGTATAATTAATTAATCAGGATGGTATTTATTTGTTATAAATTGCATCTAAGGAAATTAAAACAAAATACAGAGGAAAATGTTCACGCAAATCATGAATAAAATGGCGGAAAGCTGATAAGGATAAACTTTATATTTTAAACAATTTTCGGATGATATATAACACAAAAATGTTATGGTATATTTGACATACAGCTGAGATAAAAGAAGCCAGAAACAACTGAATTTAAAAAAAAAGCCGAACGAGTTACGCTGAAATGTTTGCCGAAACGTCGATAACTTTCAACATTCATCCCCGAAACTATAAATTACATTCCTGCAGACTATTTTAAAATAACCACCACGTTACTTTTTATACTCATAATTTTACCTAATGACGTTTCGGCAGGACCAGTATTTCATTTTACAAAGTCTTCTGCCGTAAACCAACAATCACTAAACAAAAACAACAGCGCGCTTCTCCCCGTTTCATTTACGATAGGATATGCATAACGCCTGCCAAGGTATGTTTAGACTACAAGCCACAATGCAGTGTTGGATAAGTTGCCGCATCAGAACGGCGAACCAATTATTTCACGCTGGAGAATTACGTACCATACAATATTGAACACAGTGAATACGTAACAAATATAATGAACGGTTATGGAAAACCAATGAAGCAGAATGAAAATGAAAGAAGTAAAGAATCTCATTAATAATCGCGAGGCACGACTGTAGAAGCGCACGCTTATCGATTTATATAATAACTACTACAGTACCCATCAAGAACGATTTATTTATTTTTTTTATTTAGTGTTCTGTCTGACGACAGGTCCATATGAACAGGATCCTTCCATCCTTTTCTCGGACTGGGACCTGTTCATATACGTTCTTGGCAGATGATCCAGAAGTGGTTTGCCATTGCCTTCTTCTGTGTGTGAATGGAGTAATTGTTGGGATGACACGGAGAAACCGGGGAAGCCCCCGGAGGAAAACTCCGTGTTGCCTAGACCACGGCCTTGCCCAACACAAGTTATAAATTCGGGCACCGCCGGGAATCGAACCCGAGACCCCAGGATTACAAGGCCAGCGTTCTAACCGCTAGACCAAACTGAAACCAGTACTTATTTATGCTTAATTAAATAATATAATACAATTTAATGTAGAGTTAAAAGAAAAGATCATCATTAAACGTTCCAGCACTTGTAAATTATATACATACACACGTGTGTGTCTTCAGTGTTAAGGAATAATGCAGCTAGACAGCTTTCCCTTCTTAAATAAAAGAAACAGGCTTATGAAACCACTGTACTATATCTATATATGTCACTCTATATATATTTCAGCCCGGTGACCGAATTTCATGAAACTTGATATCAGAGACTATTCCAACATCACACTTTTTAATGTCATACAGTCCATAACAACATGATGGATTCACGAATTTCTGAGCTGGGTGTGCAATTAGCATCACTAAGAACTGAGTTCTGATATGATGCAGGGTAATAGATATTCGAAAAAAATATGTAAATTTTGCTTGAATTGCTTCTTTGTAGAATGTAAAATAATAACTTGGTAACAGAGATGAATTCTTCCTTAACTGTCAGTCTGACAGCTAATACTAATGAAGTGTTTGAGACGGGAGAGCCGAAACCGGTAGACAATGAAAATTACGCATAATTACGTTCCAATATTCGTTCAATGCAACATTTCGTCATTAGCTACGAAGTGTAAGGAGCCTATTATCAAACACGTACAAACCAGGTATTTACGCCGAGATTAGAACTCGGTACTGTACATGAACAGCCACGGCGGTCTAGCGGTTAGAACGCTGGCCTTGTAATCCTGGGGGTCTCGGGTTCGATTCCCGGCGGTGTCCGAATTTATAACTTGTGTTGAGCAAGGCCGTGGTCTAGGCAACACGGAGTTTCCCCGGTTTCTCCGTGGCATCCCAACAATTACTCCATTCACACACAGAAGAAGGCAATGGCAAACCACTTCTGGATCATCTGCCAAGAACGTATATGAACAGGTCCCAGTCCGAGAAAAGGGTGGAAGGATCCTGTTCATATGGACCTGTCGTCAGACAGAACACTAAATAAATAAATGTTGTACATGAAGCCTGCAAGCCAGGGGCAGTAACGCTAAGAGAACCCGCTCCGTATAACCCAGAGTGAAGAGTTCTCGGTAATGTTAAGTTTGCGTTTCGAATCCTCCGTAGCGATGCTAATCCAGGGTCCTCACACACCTGTGTGTCTTAAGATTCAGCACAGTTAGAACAATTAGTGGTGTTCGCAGTCCAACACTTACCGTCGTTTCAACGCAAAAGGAGAGGGCCTAATGGACGTATTTAAGTTAAAATTATTATTTATATGTCCCTTTGCTTCTCTAAAATTAAGAGAATGATCTTTCCACAGTAATAAATATTATCACATAACGCCCGAAATCCCTTAACAGCATTACCATGGCAACTACCTTACGACCAAATAACGAACACCTGCCCATGTGTAGACAGACGGTTGTAAGCCAGTAGCTCATATATATAATCTGTAAATAATCATACTATGAAGCTGACTTCTTCTGAGATGTTTCGCCGTGTAGAAGCTGCTCCCATCATCAGGGCGATAATAATGGAGGCAGTAAGCACCTTTAAAACGTCGGTAAATTTCAACCAGACGAAACAGCGAAATATCCCAGAAGAAGTCAGCTTCATGTTCATCGCAGTGAGGACCTGAAAAGTCATCTAATCACACTGTGAATAAATATGGGGGTCTCATATCTTGATTCCATCTGGAGTGAATTAATATTTCGCTATGGATGTACCTATATGAGTTGTTGCTAATATAGGCATATAAAATATAAGCGACTGGATATCGACTGGATATTCTGATGCTTTCCACATGAAGTTTGGAAGTTTCCCACTTGAAAAGAATTGGCTGTAGACTCGGCAATTAAAACGGTGCTCGATACCACTTTACATATTTTTAATATTTCATTAAAGAGACACACACAGTTGACTAATCACTCTGGCCAAGCTTATTAAAATGTGTCATTATTTTTTTCAAATATTGATTTCTATCGCAGATGAACAACGGAAAACAAAAAAAAGAGCGCGCACGTGTGAAACAAGCTTTACTGAGCAACGGAAAACAAAAGAAGAGCGCGCACGTGTGAAACAAGCTTTTCGTGGTAGCCAGTTTGTTCCTCTTATTAAACTGTCCTTATTTGAGTTTATGGTCAAATTAAATTGTATTGAGACATTCGCAAGGGCATTTATGTTACTTACAAATTCCAATTCTGCAACGTGTTTTTGTTCAAATGAGCTATGCTACCAGCAAACAAAGTTGACCAACAGACAGTGTTATGAATACTTATTACGACAATCACAGCTAAGAACCGACGTGCCTGATTATCAACAACCGGTGACTGTATTTGAGTCTTCAGAGAAAGTCTTGAGAGTCACTGGTGTAAGGAACTCATCTACTTTTGTCACGTCCTACAATTTTTTTTCAGCCTTGTTCCAATTTCACTTATTATATTTTATGACACAGCATATAAAGATATGAACAGAAGTACTTGTTGACAATTTGACAAATTTGTCTGAGACAAACAAAGATTACTACAGAGAAATACAAATATACTAGACAAATTTTCCCTGTTTGCGGTTTGAGACTCCCCTCTTTAAATTACGTAACATCCAGAGTTTACGAACATACTGATGATCTTACAGGTTATTTCTTCCAATGGTGCCATCTACATAAAACCAAATTTAC